TAGCAGCTTGAGCCACAGGCACCAAGGAGCCTAAGAATGGAGGTGGTCTGCTGAGCAATGCAGAAGGTCCTGGATAGCCACTTCAGATCTACCTCCTCTTTTTTTTTCTTGCAGTTTTTGGCCAGGGCTGGGTTTGTACCCTACTCCTTTGAGCCACAGGTGCCACCCCTGGTTTTTTTTTTCTTTAAGACAGAGTCTCACTTTGTCACCCCTGGTAGAGTGCTGTGGGTTCTCACAGCAATCTCTGACTCTTGGGCTCAAGCGATTCTCTTGCCTCAGCCTCCCAAATAGCTGGGACTACAGGCACCTACCATAACATCTGGCTATTTTTAGAGATGGGGTCTTGCTCTAGCTCAGGCTGGTCTTGAACTCAGGTGATCTACTCGCCTCAGCCTCCCAAGCACTGGGATTACAGGTGTGAGCCACTGCTGGGCCTAGATTTTGTCTTGTTCAGGAAGCCTCTCTACTCCTCTTTTTTTTTTTGAGACAAGAGTCTCACTTTGTCACCCCTCAGTAGAGTGTATTGGTGTAACAGCTTACAGCAACCTTAAACTCTTAGATTCAAGTGATTCTTTTGCCTCAGCCTCCTAAGTAGTTGAGACTACAGGAGCCAGCCACAATATGCAGCTATTTTTAGATACAGGGGTCTCACTCTAGCTCAGGCTGGTCTCAAACTCCTGAGCTAGAGCGATCCACCTGCCTCGGCCTCCCAGAGTGCTGGGATTACAGGTGTGAGTCACCATGCCCAGCCTCTCTCTTGATTTGTGTTATGATTTCATGTATTTTAATATTTAAATCTTCATTTTATCTGGAATGATTTTTTGCATAAGAATAAAGATAGAAAGCAGGGTGCCATGCCTCACAGCGTAATCCCAGCACACTGGGAGACTAAGGCAGGCAGATCTCTTAAATTCACAGAATTGGAGACCAGCCTGAGGCAGAGTGAAACTCCCATCTTTAAAACTAGCCAGGTGTTGTGACAGGCACCTGTAGTCCCAGCTGAGGGAGGGGAGCTAAGGCAAGAGGATCACTTGAGTCCAAAGTCTGAGAGCTATGAGTTTGAGCTTGCTGTGAGCTATGATACAACCGCACTCTAGCAAGGGCAACAAAGTGAGACTGTCTTCAAAAAAAAAGAATGAAGACAGAGACTCAATTTAATTTTGTTCCAAGATGCTGGCAAACTGTCATATTATCTTTTACTTCATTCTTCCCTGATTTGAAACATTGACATATTAATTGCAAAATTCTTAGGTATA